CGCACAGCGCCTCCTGGGCGCACGCCCCCAGCTCGCAGCCGCGCCGCACCCCGCTCTCCCGCACCCGCGCTCCGGCGCGCGTCGCGCTCGCCCACGGCTGCAGCACAGTGGTGTGCACCGGCATGGGGAGGAGAAAAAGATGGAGAGAGAGATGATGGTAGGTGGGCCACGTGAGTGAAGAGGAGAGAGGATGACAGGCGGGCCAGGGTCACATGCACAAGGGACACTGCCGGACGAGGACGACCTAGAAAGCGTCCGCTTGTGTCCGCTTTGGACGCAAACCCAGCTCAAATTTGGGTCCAGGATGAGGTGAGACGGACCAGACGGACGTTTTTTACGGATAGAGTTGCGCGTTGGGTCGTTTTATTTGTCTATTTAACCCCAAATGGACAGACCCGGATGTTTTGGGGTCGCGTGGTGGAGATGGCCTAACGGCATGTGAGAGAAGGTGCTCCGTCTCGTCGCGTCGGGACAGAGCGGCAGCAAAAGCAATGGAGGCGTGTGCCCGTGCCGTGTGCATCTTCCGTGGGGAAGACTTGTATAGGATCAGCCTTTTAGGTGAGATCATAGGATCAACTCAAATATTTCATATTTAGACAATCCAAAAAAATCTGCAAAAAATGTACAAAATATCTGTCGGGTATGTCTACAACTCCAAAAAAATCAGCTCAAAACTCGATCTACAGTTAGCGGTTCGAAAAAGAAAATTTTGATTATGAATAGTATCAGCTTTGGGATGAATAGTATTTGACACTATTCACCTCTGATTTTGTCTTTTTTTTTTCTCTAAGTGTAGTTCGATTTGGGAGCTGAAACTTTTTGAGCCTGTACATCAAATATGGATGTATGTCTCCAAATTTTTTCAGAATTTTTTAACGTGTTTTGTATCTTCAAAATGATTGATCTCATTGATCACACCCAAGAACAGATCCTATACAAGTCTTCCCCCATCTTCCGTCGCGTTTCCCTACGGCGTGGAGACAAACATGCCTACCGTAGCGCAAGTTCTGGCTTTTTCTGTGGCAAGCGACGACCACAGGAGGTAACTTGGGAAATAAATAATCCACGCTGGGCTGGACGCGGCCTGCGTGGGTTGTTCTCTCTACCCTTTGGGCTGCTTGCGGGGTGCAGGCTGGGCCAAAAGAAGGGCAAAGCCTATTCGGCGCTGCAGGCGCTGGTTAAAAGGCAATGTTCCTAACCGGCGCCTGCGGCCGCGTTAACTGGGCTGGCCCAATTATCTGTAATTTTGTTTTCCTTCTGTTTCCAACGAGTCGGTGCTGAGACCTGCTGTACTAACGCGCAACACGATAACCACCTGACCACACAACCTCATCCGATGTTGTTCATCTTTCGTATTGTTTTATTGTTTCAACATTTCCGTTCCTTTTTTCATTTTTTCTTCTTCCTCATTTTTCAAATCGATGAAAACAATTAAATGTTTTGAACTTATTTTTTTCAAATTGATGAACATTTTTATGAACTTGATTTTTCCAATTGATGAACTTTTTCTAAAAAATAGATGAACTTTCTGAAAAAAAGAATTGCATTTTTTTCATTTTTGATGAACTTTTTTCATATTGATGATTTTTTTCAAAATTCATGAAATGTTTTCAAAATCCATGAACTTTTTGAAAAAAATGGTGAACTTTTTTCAAAATTGATGAATATTTTTTTGAAAATTGATGAACTGTTTTCAATTCGACGAACATTTTTCCAAAATTGATGAACTTTTTCCTAAATCAATGAACTTTTTTAAAATTTTTTGAAATTTCTATAAAATTGATGAGCTTTTTTCAAAATTGATGAACTTTTTTCAAAATTGAATATATATTTTTCAAAAATGATAAACTTTATTCAAAATTGATGAACCTTTTCCAAATTCATGGAAATTCTTTGAATTCGTGAACTCCTTTTAAATTCATGGTTTGTTTTGAAATTTGCGAACTTTCAAATTTTCTTCACACTTTTTTTTCAAAAATCAGGATTTTTCTAATTTATATATGCACTAAAAGCGTGGCTATACTTACTTATTAAATAGGTTGCGCCCTAATGAATCACCAGAGCCTGT